TCGTTCTGAGGTGCTGATGTGTCTAGAAATCACGTGATTTTCGGTCCCCATCTGTATCAGAGCAGGGATAATCGTAGTTATAAGCTCCCGCATTTTCGTTACATCGATTTGCAGGTTGTTATAATTTGATATTTCTTGAAATTCTTTCTTTAGAAACATTGGAATTCTTTGGTCATGCCATTTCTACTAGTGGGCAGGTTCCTTTTTTTTTTTTTTAATCTTTTATGATATGTCTGGTCTATTTGCATCAATCTTGTGAGGACTGTGAAATTCCACAGGAAAGTCACCCCGTCATCATTTGTGACATCCTTCGGGTTGTGTTTGTCCCGTACATCCATAGTTCAAAAAGGCATACCAGTGAATATATTGTTTTGGCCTATTATATCTTATATTTTATTTTCCTGGCAAAGACTGGAAACACTGATGCAATATGGTCAACATTTTCATCAAATTTATGGCATAAGCGACCTGCAGAATTTGAGCCATCTTTGTTGATTTTAGCCTTGTAGACATTAGTTGGAAAACATTATTCTTGTATTATATATATATATATATATATATATATATATACGCCTATCAATATACGATCAATATTTAATTTTGGGAGTTTTGCGGGTGATGTGTGCAGTACCCCACAAAGTAAATTTTTGTAGATCAGAGATTCTGATTTTGTTCAGGAATTGTACTCACGTGATTTTCGGTACCCTTCTTTATCATGCCTCATGACCCTACTAGAGAAAGGATAATCGTAGTTTTCAGTTTCCTTTTTTTTACTTCGATTTGCAGGTCTTTATAATTTGACTTTTTTTCTGAAATTCTTCTTTAGAAAAATTGGAAATCTGTGAGCAAGTCTTATCAATTAATTGGCAGGTTACTTTCTTTGAAATATTTATGACTGCGTCTGGTCTATTTACATCAATATATATATATGTATATAATATTATTTAAAAATATGTATTCATCGTGACACAAAAATTACCATGTGTCGAAACTAAAAACTAAACTTTAAATTAAACTTAAAATTAAAGTTTTTGTTCCATTCTCAAGCGATGTTGAATAACTTTCGAAAAAAAATTGTAATATACAGACTGTGTATCGAGAACTGGATTATAAATCTGGCTCTTCTTTCTTTTTATTTTGATATATACATACAACACACACACACATATATATATATATATTTGAATCGCATTGCAGCTTGAAACTGACAGTCACTATGCAGTGTTGATTCCTATGTCCACAAGGGATAATCGTAGTTTTAAGTTTCCTTTATTTTACTTTGCAGGTCCTTATAATTTGACATTTCTGAAATTCTTCTTTAGAAACATTGGAATTCTATGGGCAAGTCTTATCAATTATTTGGCAAGTTCCTTTTTTTTTAAATCTTTTATGACTCTGTCTGGTCTATTTGCATCGATTCTTCTGTCTGTGAGGATTGTGAAATTCCACAGGAAAGTTACTCCATCGCCATTTGTGACATCATTCGGATGGTGTTTGTACCATGTATCCGAGACTTCAAAACCAAAGTTCGAACAGACATACCAGTGAATATATTGTCCTAGCCTGTTATAATCTTATATTTTATTCTTTCTCAGCAAGGACTGGGTACCCTGATACAAGGTGGAAAACGGTTTCATCAAATTTATGACATAAGCGACAGGCAAGATTTGAGCCATCTTTCTTGATTTTAGGCTATAGGCATTAGTTGGAAGACATTGTTCTTGTATTATTATTATTATTATTATTATTTCCTGTTATTTCCGTTGCATATTTATTTCTTCCCGGGTCCCAACCAGAGACCTAAGGTCAGAAATTGCATCATGACATTTTCCACTGAGAAGTTTTGTAAAAAAAAAAAAAACAAGATCAACACACATTTTAAATAGTAAAGCCCAGTTTACGTTGTGAACTTTTCTTGTGAGTACATTTTTATTTTTTATTTCTTTAAGGCTACAATCCCTTCAATGAGTCTATCGAAACCTTTTCCAATCACACCAAGGGTTGTAATTACAACTGGAATTATTGATGTCCTCATGTGCCACATTTTTTTTAGATTTCCACTTCAAGATCCTTGTATTTTTATACATTAAAATCTGCAGGAACATCCATGTCAATAAGAAAGCATTATTATTATTATTATTATTATTATTATTATTCAGTTTATATATTTCCTTTTTATTTCTTCATAGTCTTCTTCCATCTTTGTCTTCTTCACAAGTTTTTTTTCTCCCTTTTTTATTTTCCGAATTTCTCCCTCCTAAATTTCCGTTTTCCACTTTCTATGATTTATGCTATTTTCCGTCCTATCCGCGTGAAATTTGCCAACATTTGGCGCGCCCCTTTGCGTCCGTCAGCATCCCAGCAACCTCTTTCCAATCAAGAAGCGGGCAGGTCTCGCTACCACCGGCTCCACCCTCCCACCTTCTCTCATCGAACTTCCCGATTTGGAATGACGTTATTGATTACGTGTAACGCTATTGATCTAATTTAGGATTTTGACGCTCTTCATTTGAAATCACAACAAAAAGAAATTTTGTTCTATTAAAATGAAAAACGTGAAAAGAATGTAATTATTTCTCAGAATTCATGCTCAACACTTTAATATTTTCGCCATTATCCTCCACCGCCCTTTTTTTCCGAACTCTGCTCTTCCCAAGTTTTGTATCCGCTTCATTTCATGCTATTTAAACCCTCTTTATATTTCATCTTTGTCAGATCTCTTTCCCTCGCTCTCTCTCACCTCTTCAATTTACGTTTTTCTTCCTTTTATATATATATATATATATATATATATATATATATATATATTTTGATAGTTGTATATTTAGGCAGCAATCCTTTCTTTATGCACAGTTTCATTAAAACGACAGACAGGTAATTATTGTTAAGTTTTTTTTTTTCATTTTTCTTGTGTTCGAACAAGAGCTTTCTTTTCTGGAAAGTTTTTACAAACTCTTTGTCCATAAAAGAAAACTCTTGTTCGAACACAAGGAAAATTAAATAAAAAACTTAACCTTGTCCGTCGTTTTTAATGAAACATGTATATATATATATATATATATATATGTGTGTGTGTGTGTGTGTGTGTGTGTGTGTGTGTCTGTATGTTTGTGTCTGTATGTGTGTGTGTGTGTGTGTGTGTGTGTGTATGTGTGTGTGTGTGTGTGTGTGTGTGTGTGTGTGTGTGTGTGTGTGTGTGTGTGTGTGTGTGTAAAACGTATATATGCTATAAGACTCTGTCGCTTTTTTTAATCGACTCTCTTCAATCCTCCACCTATGTTATTTCTGCTTTTCTTCATTCTTTTTTATTTTTTTGTCTCTTTCCACTCCTCTTTGCCTCTCTGTCTCTGTATTTTACCATTTCCATCTCTCTTTTCTCTCTTTCTCCCTTCCCTCATCTACCCTCTCTCTCAATATCTATATATCGCTCTCTTCCTCCATTGCCCCTTTCTCTTTATTTTTTCCTCTCTTTTTCTCCTTCTCCTATCCTTTCTTTCTATCTACTTTTCTTTATTCTGTTTCCTTTTTTCTCTCTTTCTAGTCACCTCTGTCTCTCTATCACTGTTTTTTACCATTTCCATCTCTCTTTTCTCTCTTTCTCCATTCCCTCGTCTACCCTCTCTCCATATCTGTATATCGCACTCTTTCCCCTATCTTCCTTTTCTCTTTATTTTTTCTCTCTCTTTTTCTTCCTTCTTTCTCCTTCTCCTATCCTTTTTTTATATCTCTCTAGATCTCCGCCTTTGCTTTTTTAATCGATCTTCCTCAATCCTCCTCCTCCTATTTTATTTCTACTTTTTTTTATTCTGTATTTTTTTCTCTTTCCACTCTCCTCTGCCTCTCTATCTCTGTTTGTTTACCATTTCCATCTCTCTTTTGTCTTCTCTTTCAATTGTCCCTCCTCCTCATTTCAGTCAACCTTCCTTTCTCTCTATCATTCCTCTTCCTCCAACCATCTCCTTATGATGTTTCATTCGGTTTACCTTTTTCCTCAATCTTCACTCTCACTCTCACTCTCTCTATATATCTTTCTCTTTCTCTCTCGTACCCTCTCTACGTACCTTCTCCTCACTCCCATTCCACTTTCTCTATTCCTCTTTTTCTCGCTCATTCTTTCTTTCTATTCCAACTTCGTTATATATCTCCCTCCCCTCTATTTTCCCTCGCTTTCCACACTCCCTTCTCTCCCTTTCTTCTTTACCACTTTCTCCCTCTTCTACCCTCTGACCATATATATTGCTTTCTTCCTCCATCCCCGCTTTCTCTCTGTTTCTCTACTTTCTTTCTTCTTCTCCTATCCTTTCTTTATACCTCTCTAGATCTCCACCTTCCCTTTTTCTCTGCTTCTCTTTTTCGCTCCTACCCTCTCCCACTCTCTATTTTCACCCAGTCTCTCTCTCTTTCCCTTTATCTTATTATCTCCCCCTCTTTCTGTTTATATATCCTGCCTTCTCTTTCATTCCCTTTTTCTCCGACTCTCCCTCCTCTCTCCGCTTTCTATTCTATGTCTCTCTCTCTTTCCCCTTACCTTATTATCTCCCTCACTTTCTGTTTATATATCCTGCATTCTCTTTCATTCTCATTTCCCCCCTCTCCCTCCTTCTCTCCCCGCTCTCTATTTTCTCTCTCTTTCTCTCTCTTTCCCCTTATCTTATTATCTCCCTCTCTTTCTGTTTATATATCCTGCCTACTCTTTCATTCTCCTTTTCTCCCCCTCTCCCTCCTTCTTTCTCTGCTCTCTATTTTCTCTCTCTCTCTTTCCCCTGTCTTATTATCTCCCTCTTTCTGTTTATATATCCTGCATTCTCTATCATTCTTTTTTTCTCCCCCTCTCCCTCCTTCTCTCTCCGCTCTCTATTTTCTCTCTCTCTTTCTCTCTTTCCCCTTATCTTATTATCTCCCTCTTTTTCTGTTTATATACCCTGCCTTCTCTTTCATTCCCTTCTTCTCCCACTCTCCCTCCTTCTCTCTGCAGTTTTATTATCGCTCGCTCGGCTTTGTCTCGCTATTCTCCAATCGTGTTATCATAACCGCTTTGTCACATTACACTATACAAAATTTCTTCACGTTTTCTCTTTCGTTTTCCGTTCCCCGTATTCCGTTTCTCTTTTTCCAAACACTTCCATAACATTTTATATCTAATAAATAAGCTTTACTTTCTTCAATCAATATCAACGCCGTTACATTAAAAAAAAAACAAAAAAAAAAAAAAACGATAAAAATCTTAATAAACAAGACAACGGATGTCGTGAAAATATTTTTCACTAATATTTTCTATCCTTTTTTCAAATATGGAGGACTCGTCTTCAGGGAAAGGTTGTGTATATGCATAGTTTTCAATTTGATCAGTTTTCGCTTGCCTATTTTTAATAATAATTTTCGTACAAATTCCCGACTGTCGTCAGTCAAACTTTCAACCTCCACACCACTTCCATTTTCCTTTACCAATTCAAACTTTTCCCACACCTCAATCATCTTCCACGTCCTTATTCCTTCTTGCATGGTCGTTTGGGTCCTCTTTGCTGAGGCTACAGGGGGAATACTCGCTATGTGATTATATTGAATAGATTTTTGAAATCCTGTCAAATCTGAAATACAGCCTCTTTGATTTCTTGCCACTGTTTCGCTGCCTAATTTCATTTAGCGACTATTTTGCTTGGCTAATTCGTTTACGCATGCGCGAATCGATCATTTTCACACGAGATAATTATGGCGCGAATATGTGAGCATGCGTAATCTGTGCTGGACGCGCTTGGGGAGAGAAAGAGAGAGCTCTATTTTTACAACTGTCGTTTTCTTCCGCCCGGGTTTCGTCATTCATCAATGAGCCAATAGGCGGAAGGACGGACGGAAATTGAAGCTCCTCTGAAAACTTTGCTAAATAGAGACAAATAACTTTTTTAATATACAAATTCCGGTTTCTCCTCAGACGTACTTCTTCTTTCCTTAATTTTTATCTCATAACTTGATATTTATAAATAATTAAAAGACATTGTCAACAATTGATCCTCTTTTTTAATATCGAATAAATACTCTTCGCCACGAACCATTTGCAAACGCTTAAATAAAGCCATTGAACAGTAAGCGCATATAAACGCACTTACACGTATATAAGTAATTATATATATATATATATATATATATATATATATATATAGTTTTAAGGTGTGCTATATTTATGGAATAAAGTGCTCAAGGTATAGAGCGTATGTAAATATAAATATAAAAGCCAACATTGAAGTCAACACTCCGAGGCGACAGGGTGTTTCATGCTGGACGCAATCGCCGGGCCTGACGATTGCGTCCAGCATGAAGCAGCCTGTCGCATTTGAGTGTTGACTTCAATGCTCACTTTCACATATATATATATATATATATATATATAGTATTTTATTTATTCATAGAGTTTTGAGTCTTTGTTGTTATTGATCAGCTGGCTGTTGTATGCTCGGGCCTTTCTTTCAGGTTAGAAATGTCGAACTGAACCCACATTTTCGTTGTTGGAGTGTAGACTGTTCTACTTCCACGTGCCATGTCTAATGGGTGTCAGTTATCAGTTATCTCCTGTTAATTCATTAGACCTGGCACGTGGAACTAGAACAGTCTACCCCAGTGAGTGAAATAAAGGGTTCAGTTCGCCATTTCAACCAACTGAAGAAGGCCGGAGCATACAACGGCCGAAACGCTGTGATAAGTATGGCAACAAAGATGAGGACAATAGTCCGAATAATGTAAATAGTGTACATAATACCTCATCTCAGAAATAAATATATATATATATATATATACAGGAATGTAAAACTACTTCATGGTGATGATTATTTCATCTTACTAAATTTGCAAGGATTTTCAAACCTTTTATTCGTTTAATTTTTTAATATTGCTTAAAATGTGATACTTTTAATGTGTTTAAAGAGTTCATTCGATAAAAATTGCCTAAGGATACCGTAAATTTGAAACCAAACAAGCGGATTCAACTGATCCCTTGATTTTTAACGTTAAAAGCCCTACATGTTATTTGTACATTTATTTTATTTTTTCATATGCGTATTGAGGACATTTTAATAATACTGTTTCCTAGTCTGTCTGATTCAGCTCTGACCATTAACCCTTTATGTATTTGATATATATATATATATATATATATATATATATATATATATATATATATATATATATCCAAATATAGGACGAAACGCCCGTCCAGTGCTTTCTGCATTCAGTTGAGGTTTCTATCAGACTCGATGAATTAACTAAATATAATTATCAAATCCTCCCAATAATTACTGTTTGTGTTTATCATCGCTTGAACCGGCTTCTAATGCTCCAGTTGGTAGCGGCTTGGTGAGAGTAGTCGTGACTCCAGGGGGCACAGTCCTATGGTTACAGAGAACTCAGTTGAGTTCCGCCACGGAATATGTGAGCGAGCGGCGCTAAGTTGAGTCTGATTTGGAATCTCTGCGTCACCGAGGCCCATTTGGAACAGTTGGTATGACGTTTGCTTGACAATCTATCTGTCAGGGTTTTAATTCTCGGTAGCCGTCCAGTGCTTTCTGCATTCTGTTGAGGTTTCTATCAGACTCGATGAATTAATTAAATTTAATTATCAAATCCTCCTAATAATTACTATATATATATATATCTATATCTATATATAAAAGGCATTTAAAACAACATGCCTGGCTGCATACACAATTCCGGAAAATCCTTGTTGAATGAAAATAATAAACAAAACCTAAAAATTTTTGAAGTTATTTACATAAAACAATTGAAACTTAACCTGAACAAAATAAACTATGAAATCGCCAAAAATATTCTTAAATGCCTATAATTGGTAACAGAAGCCATTGGTTTATACCAACGGCTTCCTATACTTAATACTTCTCGTTTTCACTCTCGCGTGGTCATTTGTGACGTTACGAGCTGCGGCACGATTTTCGCTTCCAGCGTCTTGTAGGCACGAGTTTGTCGTTGCTTGTAAATCTTCCATGTAAACAGAAACAGACTATCATTATTGTTTTGTCCGTGTATTGCTTAATATATTGTAATGTAATTGTCATCTTTGATAATGGCTTATGTAAGCCGAAAGCTTAGATAGAATTCAAAAATATATATCAATATTGTGATTTTCTTTCTTCGTTTAATGATAATGTTATTAAGCTTATCAGACGATATGAAAAGAATTTACATAAAATAAATAGACAACACTTGTCTATATTATTTAATATATATATATACTAGCTTAAATGCCGGACTTTTAAGCTAGATCCTGTGAAGAGCTAATTGGGCCTCCGCCTCAAAACTAAAGGGACTGCTTAGAAAATAGCAATGATAATTTGGAAGGAAATAACTTTGAATTCCTCAGTTCCCTCGATTGACCTTCAAAACCTCACTTTAACTCTGATTTGGGCTATGAGTTCAATTTCCGGCGAAAAGTCTGATTTGGCGAGACAATCCGATTTGAACAGAAATTCCAATTCAGGCCGAAAATTGTATTGTTCAAATCACAAATTCTATGGAACTTCAAAACCTGAAGTCACGAAAACGCTCAATTTATCTGATTCCTTGACATTTTGAAGAAATAAAATTGATTTCCTCAATTCACAAAGTTTTTGTGATATTTTAAACTAAATTTAATACTACTCTTTTTTTAAATTCACAATGATGTGTTACTTTAAACTCAATATGAATTAAAAACTTTTAAAATAACTAATTTTTTTAGTTATTTTAAAATTTGAATTATTAAGTGTTCTCTCCTCATCCGGACTCAAATCCCAATGCTGGATATTCAAGCACCAGATAAAAAGCAGATTTTCAATCCATGGATCATCCTGATTCCAAAAAGTGATAATATATCTATGTAGATCAAGTGTGCATCGAGTTAGAGGGGTTTCAGACACACGGATGGACAGACAGAATTTGCCGTGTCTATATATATATATATAATTCGCAATTCGCCCTTGCATGGAGTATTGCTGCCATATATAGTCTGGTGCCCTTCTGTTTGCCTCGGGTTCTTGATAGGCTCCAGAGGCGGATATGCAATATAATTGGCCCTGATCTGGCATCTCGTCTGCAGTCACTTTCACAGACGCGCCGTCGTCTCTCCCCCGTCTTTTTCTACAAATACTTTCATGGTAATTGCCCGAGGAGCTGCATTCGCTGGTTCCCAGATTTCATGAATTCAAGCGCCCTACGAGGCTGGCATCCCGCTCTCACCCCTTCACTGTCGAAACTCCTAAATGTAGCCGTCTCTTCACTCTAATAGCTTCATGTCTCGCACCTCTCGCCTGTGAACTCCCTTCCCTTCTCCTGTTTCCCCGTGAGCTATAATCACCAGCTATTCAAGTGTAATGTCAATCGACATCTCCAGTTGCCTTTTGATCTATCCCCTATCCTTCTCCCTCATCCTTTCCTCTATCATTCCTATCTGATCTTGCTCCAGATCTTCTGTGACCCCTTGCGTCATAGTGGCTTCTCGCCTTGCTTGGGGTGAAACGCTTAAATATATATATATATATATATATATATATATATATATATATATATATACAACATATAATAATATACTGCAATGGGAGGTTGAAAACAGCCGCGCTTAAAAAGTATAAACACTAAATAGTTTATATATATAAACTATGAAAAGTTTTATAATCCAAGTGAATCCTAATAATATAAAATATTAAAACTGATCCACAAAAAGACCTCAATGGGTTTATTACAACAGAGCATATAAATTGCACAACAGAGAAATCCAAAATTACCTCATCCCTCTGGATTGAATAAGACAGATGTACTTAGTGTTGGTTGAAATAGACTATACCCATGAGGTAATTTTGGATGCCTGGGAAAGTCAACTTTCGCGTGAAGACACCTCCAGATAGGATGCCACAGAAGTAAGGATGAAACGATCTCCCCGTCTGCTCAGTGACAGTGCCCGGCAAACTGCAATCGCTTTTGTTTGAGCTTAACCATTTGAGCCCCGATTACTGCTTTACCGGTTCTAGAGAAAAATAACTTAATGCTTAGCCACTGGTTGAACGGTGGATACACACTAGTAACTATTTTTAAATCTACCATGAAACATTACATACCAATTATTTGCGAATTTTCACTCAGGAACTCAGGCAGAAGGGTTAAAATTGTTCAAGGACATAGGGCTCAAAGGGTTCAAAGAGATTGGTCTTAGTTCACTGTAAATTCTGTTAAGCGTTGAATTCGGTCTAGTCCTTTTTTTATTCTGTTGAGGTTCCTTCTAGACACGATGAATTACTTAATTATAATTATCTCAAATCCTCTTAATAATTTCTATCACTTAAATATCCTTGCTTGAACCGGCTCTAATGCTCAAGTTTGAGAGGCTTGGTCATAGTAATCGTGGTTCGTTGGGTCACAGTCCTATGCATAAGGGAAACTTAAATGAGTTCTACCATGGAATATATGATCGAGCGACGCTATACCGAGTCTAATTCATTACTTCTTCGTCACTGAGGCCCGTTGGTACAGTTGGTATGACGTTTGTCTCATATCGTAACGTTGCCGGTTTCAATTGTGTTAAGCGTTGCATGGGATATCCAACTCACTTTTCTAATTAGATTTGTAATTTCTCTTTCAAGACGAACAAATAATGTTCAATTATGACATATAATGTCCAGATATGTAACGCACGCCTTAATTTGTCTCTTTTGCTGACAACCATACATTTTATCTACTTACATTTCAGTCCTTCTTGCGGTAATATGTAATCGAGCGGAGCTATATCGAGTCTAATGCATTACTTCTTCGTCACCGAGGCCCGTTGGTACAGTTGGTATGGCGTTTGTCTCATATCGTAAAGCTCCCAGTTTCAATTGTGTTAAGGGATCTCTAACTGATGTTCTGTATTTTTCTAATTAGATTTATCGTCTTTCAAGACGAACGGATAATGTTCAATTATGACAGATAATGTTCAATTATGACATATAATATATTACATAAGATATGTAATGCACACCTTAAGTTTTCTCTTTTGCTGACAACCACGCATCTTATCTTCTTACATCTGACAGTCCTTCTTGCTGCTTCTTTTTATAGTTTTTTTTTTCTAAAAGGTTTCCACTTTCTTTCTGAGTCCGCCATCAACAGTTTCATCGGTGTGTAATATTGTTAAATTAAGTCCGCCAAAACTAAATCCTAGTAGGACTTACAGTTCTCTTGATTCTCTAGCGATACTATCAAGTCAGAGATTCTCATCTGTCGGTACTCTCTAAGCCAGTGGTTCCTATACGGTGCGACGCGCCTCATAGGTCCTGATCTGCGCCTTATTGGTACTGATCTGGTGTCTCGGCTTCAGTGTAAACAAACTCGTAGTACACTTAAATTCATGCGAAGGAGATACCAAAGAGGAAGCGCTCATTAGAAAAACTGCCGTGAAAAATATTTATAAAAAAGACAGAGGGAAGCCACGTCACGGTGGTGGGAAAGTGACTAAAGCTGAGATGCCAGATCTAGACCGATAACATTACAGTCCTTTTTTTTTTTTTTTTTGATTTTGTGGAGAATCTTGAATTCATAACCGTACAAGCAGGCCAGCAATATTCAATACACGAACAAATGGTAGATTTATAAACAGGCAAGAGGGATTCTGGCAAGAAAAATTGTCTGGCACGACACTGTGAACCAACCTTCTTAGCAACAGATCTAGTTATTGACAATACAATCGCTCCACTTCATGTTTGGGGAAAGAATGAGACCAAGAAGGTGCAATGAGTTGCTCTCTTGGAGGTTAGCATCAGCCATACTGATAGATGACAAAAATGGTTTTCTATGATGATTTAAGAATAGCAGTTTTGTTTTGAAGTCATTAAAACTCATTTAACAGTCATTAAAAGTCATTACTTGCCCCAGTTAACAACATATTGAAAGTCATTTTCAAGAGCAGCTTCCAGCTTTACGGCTATCTGTCTCTATTCATTATCTATCTATCTATCTATCTATCTATCTATCTATCTCATTCTGTTATCTATCTATCTATCTATCTATCTATCTTAGTGTTCCATGGTTGAACGTTTCTCCATCTAAGTCTATTGATATCTATCTATCTATCCTAATACAGAAAATGGTGATTAGTGTTGTATTTAATTTTTTGGAAAATTGTAGATGGCAGAATAGCAAGAAACTAGATGAGAGTTCCACCGGCGAGAAATGTGAGAAAATAAACTATTAAAATAGAACTTACACTTGTATCTAGCTATTTCGACAGAAATGAGACCTAACTGCCAATCGAGTAGTACAGTTAAATTCATGTAGTTGATGTACCAGCGATTGAAGCTCATCAGAACAATTACCGTGAAAATATTTATAGAAAAGACAAAAGGTGGTAGGAAAGTGACAAAAGTTGATATGCCAGGTCAGGACCGATAAAATTACAAACACTTTTTTGTAATTTTGTTGAGGATCTCATGATATAGAGCAGCAAGGTCACCAGACCAGATGTGGCAACAATATTCAATGCACAGACAAATGGCAGATTTATAAACGTACAAGATGGATTCTGGCGAGAAAAATTGTCTGGCACACATTGTGAACCAACCTTCTTAGTAGCAGATCTAGTTATTGACTCAATGCAATCACCCCCACTTCATGTTTAGGAAAAGCATGAGACCAAGAAGGGGCAATGAGTTGCTCTCTTGGAGGTTAGCATCAGCCATACTGATAGATGACAAAAATGGTTCTCTATGATGATTAAAGAATAGCAGTTTTGTTTTGAGGTCATTAAAACTCATTTAATAACCATTAAAAGTCATTCCTTGCTCCAGTTAACAACATATTGAAAGTCATTTTTCAAGAGCAGCTTCCAGCTTTACATCTATCTATCTATCTATCTATCATCTATCTATCTATCTATCCTAATACAACTTTTTTAGTCTCCATACAGATGGTGGGAAAAATGTATAAGTTAACATTTGGTAGATTTGTAAATGTGCAGGAAAGAATTCTGGTTAGAAAAATTGTTTGGCACAACTTTTCTAGTAGTAGACCTGGCAATTGATCCAATGTAATCATTCTATCCCCTGTCAGTAGAAAACGTGAAACCAAAAAGGTGCAAAAAGATGCTCTCTCTCCTGAAGGTGAGCATCAGCCATACTGATGAAGACCAAAATAGTTCTTTATGACGATTAAAGGATAGCTGTTTCGTTTTGAGGTCATTAAAATTTACAAGTCTTTTCTTGCCCCAGTTAACTGTTATGGTAAATTACCCATACACAGATGGGCTGTCGCAAGTTACAAATAAATGCAGGTATTTCTTTTAGAAAAGTAGTTTCCAGCAGTCAGCTCTGACAGTCGGGCTTAACATTCTTACTCGTTTGTATATTTGTATTATATTTGTATTATTGTTTTCTGTTAATATATTTGTTAACTCAATTTGCTAACTTCTCTTGGTGTCTTTTTTTCTGACCCCAAGTCCACACCATTAACAACAGATTGAAGGTCATTTTCAAGAGCAGCTTCCAAATTTACATCTATCTATCTATCTATCTATCTATCTATCTATCTATCTATCTATCTATCTATCTCATTCTGTTATCTATCTATCTATCTATCTCAGTCTGTTATCTATCTATCTATCTATTTCAGCCTGTTAATTATCTATCTCTGTAAGATGCCCTGCAGCCACTCGAAGTAGATTATCTATCTATCTATCTATCTATCTATCTATCTATCTATCTATCTATCTCAATTTGACCATATCTATTTAAGTCTTTTCATATCTATCTATCTATCTATCTATCTATCTATCTATCTATCTATCTCAATTTGACCATATCTATTTAAGTCTGTTCATATCTATCTATCTATCTATCTATCTATCTATCTATCTATCTATCTCATTCTGTTATCTATCTATCTATCTATCTATATCGATACAACATTTTTAGACTCCATATAGATGAAGGGGGCAAAAATGTATAATTTAACATTTGGTAGATTTATAAGCGTACAGGAAAGAATTTTGGCTAGAAGAATTGTCTGGCACAAATTTCTTAGCAGTAGACCAAGCAATTGGTTCAATATAATCATTCCACTCCATGACAGTGGAAAACGCGAGACCAAAAAAGGCGCAAAGAGCTGCCTTCTGGATCTCAGCAGCAGATAGTTCTTTATGATGATTAAAGAATAGAAACTTCATTTTGAAGTCATTAAAATTTATAAGTCATTTCTTGCCCCAGTTAACAACAGATTGAAGGTCATTTTAGAGAGCAGCTTCTAACTTTACATCTATCTATCTATCTATCTATCTATCTATCTATCTATCTAAATACAGACTCCATACAGATGATAGGGACAAAAATGACTAATCCAAGATTTGACTAAGTTGTTTGATCCTATTTGCTATAAACTCACAAATATTGGTGTCGATAGTGAGAAACTGTAAGATTCGTTTTCACAGTCATTGGATGATTCGAAACAATGCGTTTCACTAGAACAGTGTTGACATTTTTTGGAATCCCGGTTACGGCCAACTTAGTATCAAATATGAATAAATATCTCCTTGAATTGCCAGTGTCAATCCAGTCCAAAAATGAGATTTTTCTGAGTCGAACGAGAATAGAAAGACAATCTGTTTCACATAAAATTCACCTTCGAATTTGGAGATAGATAGATAGATAGATAGATAGATAGATAGATAGATATGAACAAGCTGAGATAGATAGATAGATAGATAGATAGATAGATAGATAGATAGATAGATAGATAGATAGATAGATAAAAAAGAATGTCAGAGTTATGAACAGATAGATACAAGGATAGGTATATATGAACAGAATGCCATAGATAAGAAAAAATATATAAATAGAGAGAGATGGATAAAATGTCAAACACAAGAAAAATATAGAATATATAATATATATATATATATATATATATATATATATATATATGTATTGAGAGAGAGAGAGAGACAGGTAAACTGGAACAGAATGTCATAAATAAGAAAAAGATAGATAGACACGAACTGAATATCAGATAGATAGATAGATAATGAATAGACAAGGATAGATAGATAGATAGATAGATAGATAGATAGATAGATAGATAGATAGATAATGAATAGACAAGGATAGATAGATAGATAGATAGATAGATAGATAGATAGATAATGAATAGACAAGGATAGATAGATAGATAGATAGATAGATAGATAGATAGATAGATAGATAGATAGATAGATAATGAATAGACAAGGATAGATAGATAGATAGATAGATAGATAGATAGATAGATAGATAGATAGATAGATAGATAGATAGATAGATAGAAATGAATAGACAAGGATAGATAGATAGATAGATAGATAGATAGATAGATAGATAGATAGATAGATAGATAATGAATAAACTTAGATATATAGATAAATAATGAACAAACCGAGACAGATAGATAGATAGATAGATAGATAGATAGATAGATAGATAGATAGATAGATAGATAGTCCCTCTCCCGCCGTTTGCACACGTTTATTACCACTTTATTTATTTTCCATACATGCTTAAAGAAGGTTTCTCTCTGGATATGTTTAACAAGACGTAAATTCAATGCAAAAATTATATACACTTTTAATTTCTTATTTTCGATGTTCATGCCTGCAAATAATTCCATTCATACTGACGCAATTCGTACCCTCCATTCAACAATTTTCGGTCAACCCAGACAAAAATAAATCTAGTTATCGTATAAAAATGAACAGAATGCTTATTGACAAAAATATTTCAAAACCTAATTTAAACGTTGAATTATCTCCCTTTATTTTATCTTTTTTTTGTTTTCAATGGCAACTTTTATTTTCATCTACTAATTTACTTTCTCTGTTTTCACTTCTCCCATCTGTTCACATCCATACATTTCCCCCCCCCCTTGGGGTAGGCAGTGTAGCTAAGGAGTTTCTAATTATTTCAAAGCTCAATTTCATTTTCATCTTCATTAAATTTTCACAGTTTATTTTTATTTTTAATCGTCCATTACATTATGAGTTGCTTGTTTTCTAAATTCTGATTGAATAATGTTATCGATTATTTTATCTTTATTTCAAAACAATTCATTGTCAATTTAATTCAACATTTTGATCCATTATCTTCGTCCCTGATTATTAGAGCAATCAATTCCTTCGTCAGCTGTGCATTGATTCGGCGAAAAACATCGAAACTTTCACAAATCTTTAACCTTTATAATCCTTAATGGAAATGAATCTTTTTACGTGTTTCCAACTATTTTTTCATTTTGTCTGAAGTTCTACTTTGCATTTCTGATGTCAGGCTGTGTGTGTGTGTGTGTGTGTGTGTGTGTGTGTGTGTGTGTGTGTGTGTGTGTGTGTGTGTGTGTGTGTATGTCTATGTCTGTATGTGTATATGTGTTTATGTGTGTATGTGTATGTGTATGTTTATGTATGAGTGTGTTTATCTGCGTGCATGTATGGGTGTGCATGTGTATATGTATGTGTGTATGTGTGCGTGTATGTGTGTATGTGCGTATGTGTATGTGTTTTTATGTGGTATGTGTGTGCATGCGTGTGTGTTTATGTGTGGGTATGTATGTGTGTGCATGTATGTCTATGTGTGTATGCGTGTATATGCATGTGTGAGTAGGCATGTGTATGTTTGTGTATGTGTGTATGTGTGTGTTTATCTGTGTGTATGTGTGTGCATGTGTGCGTGTGCATGTGTGTATGTATGCATGTATGTGTATGTATGTGTGCGTGTATGTATGTGCGTATGTGTATGTGTTTTTATGTGTATATGCGTGTGTATGTTTGTGTATGTGTATGTTCATCTGTGTTTATGTGTGTGCATGTGTGCGTGATCATGTGTCTATGTGCGTATGTATGTGTGTATGTATGCGTGTGTATGTGTTCTTGTGTGTGTGTGTGTGTGTGTGTGTGTGTGTGTGTGTGTGTGTGTGTGTGTGCGTGTGTGTGTCTGCAGGCGTGTTAACGCATAGGCGCAATTTGTTAGGAAGTGCCAGGGGCTCTTGGCAATATTTCTCTGAATCAACAGAATCAAAAGTATAAACAATGAATATATGTTTCTTTATTTGACTTCGATTGGATAGGGTCCTTTGTAATTCGGGTTGGCGAAAGTTCGTTTGGCTGGGTAGTTTACGGGTCAGACTTTGCTAGTAGGTGGGAGGGTGGCTAGTTTGGAAACATTCTGAGGACGCCAAGTACTATGTTTTCTCGGTCCTCAATAGGGCGGAAAATGTCCTTAAGCAGATAACAACTAGTTCTTCACGCTTGACCGGTTTCTATAAAAAAATCCCGAAAGTTCAGAATCGCGAAATTTAAAATCCAGAAAGATCAGAATCCTAAAAAATAGTCTTTGGGAGAAATTGAAAAAAAAAGTGTGTGGGCGGGGAATGCTTTACTTCTAGACATTTACAAAATACAGTGTAAATATTGTTTATACATTTGAAACATTCAAAATTCATTAAAAAAATATAAAACTAGAATATGGCGACTAGCGGATGGGAAATTTTAGTAGGCAATGCGCATGTCGGTGTTTATCGGATTATGGGTAACTTTCAAAAAGAGCAGCAAGGCGTAGAAAACGAATGTGAACGCATTCTCTGGGGAGAGTCTTGTCCAAAAAGAAAAAAAAATGTGTTTTATCGTGATGAAAAGCTTAAAAATATAGTTAGCGATCGTGAAATCCTACTAGATCTCATAGACTATCTTAGGATAATTCATAATCTTTCATTATAAATTATTCATATTTTCTGGTTTAATATTTTTTAATCAATTTTGAATGTTTCAAATGTATACACATTTAAACGCTATTTTGTAAATGTTTAGAAATAAAGGCATTTCAATTTTTTTTTTTCTATTTCTTCCAAAGACTATTTTTTTAGGATTCTGATCTTTTAGTATTTTAAATTTCGGGATTCTTATCTTTCGGGATTTTGATACATTCGAGATTTTTAATTTCAGGATTTCGACCTTCAGGATTTTAAGATTAGAGATTATGTACCAAAGCCATAAAATATATAATATATTTACAAATCTGACTCTGATTTATTAACCGTTCAGATGCATAATCGACTCTGATTTGGGCTTTTAATTACCGTCAATGGCAAGTGACTATATATATATATATATGTGTGTGTGTGTGTGTGTGTGTGTGTGTGTGTGTGTGTGTGTGTGTGTGTGTTGAACAATAAAAAATATTAAAAATTAAAATCTTCAGACACACTGGGTTGTATGTTAATATTCTTTCGTTTTTATTATTTCAGTTAGATTTCTCGACTAGTTTCGGCCAGCATGGCCATCACCAGAAGAAAAAAAAATTCTGTTTGCTAATAGCAGGAATTACAGAAATGAATATCTTGATGAAGAAAATGAATTTTTGTCTGTAGTTTACATTTGTTTTTTTTTTGTATTTATATATATATATATATATATATATATATATATATATATATATATATATATATATAATTTAAATAAAAAAGACCACTTTAAGGTTCCATGTAATAAATTATTTTACGATAGCTCTTTTAAAAGGACTGCGGATCATCAGACTTTACTTTCAAACAAAAAAATGAAAAGAAAATTTACACATTTTTGACGGGCCGTATTAAACATATGTAAATTAACGAAGTTAGGAAGTGAGGGGGGAGAGAGAAGACATCAGTGAGTTAGCAGATATTGACACATTTAAACGGTTAACGGAAGTTATATATTGATATCGAAGGGGTAGATTGAGCTCTCTGGATTTTATCTTCCTTAGGTTTTACCCATACGGATTACCTAGTTTTTCATAAACTAACTAACTAACTATATATATATATATATATATATATATATATATATATATATATATATATATATATATATATTAAAATAATAAGAAAAAAACAGTAAGATTTATAATCCTGTGTTCTTAGTAATTATTCTTATTTTAAAAAAACAGTAATCGATACAAATAGTAGAACAAAATATTATAATTATATTCTATTTCAAAAACATAACTCCATCGCAAAACTGAAACTAAATTTATTAATTTAATTAATTTTTTTTTTTATAAATTAATTAAATTTCTTAAAATGTTATCCCTAACATCGCTTGACAATGGAACGAGACTATGGATTTTAAGCTTAATTTTTATAATTAAATTTTTTAAATTTAGTTTCAGTTTTAAAACAGAAATTTTCTGTATCGCGATGGAATCATATTTTAAAAAAAGATAATAATTATAATATATATATATATATTGTGTATATTTAGACAGAAATTTTTCATGCATGTTTCATTAAATAATATAGACAAGTTTTGTCTATTTATTTTAAGTAAGTTCCTTTCATATTGCCTGATAAACTTAATAACATTATCATTGAAAGACGAAAGGAAATCACCATATTGATACATGTTTAAATCCAATCTAGGCTTTCGACTTACATAATCCATTATCAAAGATGACAATTACTTTTCAATATATCAAACAATACACGGACGAAACAATAATGATAGTCTGTTTTTGTTGCATGAAAAATTTCAAAGCAACGACAAACTTGTGTATACGAGACGCGGAAGCGAAAATCGCATCGTAGCTCGTGACGTCACACATGACCACCCGAGAGTGAAAACGAAAAGTATTGAGTATGGGAAACCGTTGATATAAACCAATGGCTTCTGTTATTAACTATAGGCATTTAAGAATATTTGTGGAGATTTCGTAGTCTATTTGTTAAGGTTAGGTTTCAACTGTTTTATGTATATAGCTTCGAGAATTTTTTGGTTTTGTTTATTGTTTTCATGTTTCAGTATAGTTGTGTTTTCAACGAGGATTTTCCGGAACTGTGTACGCGGCCAGGCATGTTGTTTTAAATGTTCATATATATATATATATATATATATATATATATATTCAATGTGAAGTGACAATATAATCAACATCTTATATCATCGAAAAATGTGCTCATTACCAAGCACCAAGTCGTTACAAATTAAAATAGAAAAAATAAAAAGAAGACAATGGGTTTATGATTTATAATTTAAAAAATATCAAACATTTACGATAAGCCTCTATTATTTGCTTGGTTTAGAAATAACAAATTTCTCTTTCATAAATTTGACCTTGTGCCAGGCTTGGCTTAGTTTAAAACTTCAAACAAAAAGAGATTCCAATTAAATTAAATCGTATGCCGACCACAAAAATAGTAAAATGAAGAAAGAATACATTTTTCATCAGAAGATTTAAAAAAAAAACAGTGTCACCCCAAGCATGGTAGAACATCCACTAACACGCAAGGGGTTACAGGGTGTGGAGAAATTAGGGACAGAAACATTAGTTATGAGTAGAAAGAGAAAAGAATTTTTGATACGGAAATTCTAAGCCGCTTGAAAATAACGTAGATGTCTTTCAGAAGCTAAGCAATGTATTAAGAGATAGAAAAATAGCGTTAGAATCAAAAGAAAAATAAATAATCGTTCTGAACTGCTATGAAAAATCAAATCTTCTTAATGCCAGTGAATGCTGGAGAGTCTCCTTAAAAAGGAAGAAAACAGCGGACGCGAGAGAAATGTGGTTCTGCTGAAGAAAATGTTGAAAATACCATGGACGAAATAACGGGGAAATCTTAAGAACACAACTATTAAGAAACATAAACTTACAATCAGAAAACGGAAGACGAAACTTCTGTGACAAATAATAAGGGAGGAGTACCTGGAGACTTAAACAGAAGACAAAAGAAAAGAGGGAGTATAACAAGTAGCCTTAAAGAGCTGGCGTGAATGAATGGCAAGAAGAGGAGAGGAAAAAACGGAAGACTGAAGAAGGAAAAGGTAAGAGAGAAGAAAGAAAAACTGAAGAGAAAAGAAAGAAAACGGAAGAGAGGAAAAGGAAAACGGAAGAGAGGAAAAGGAAAGCGGAAGAGAGGAGAAAGAAAACTGAGAAGAGAAGATGAAAACGAAAAAAAGAAAACGAAAAACGAAAGAGAGAAGAAGGAGAGCTGATGAGAAAAGAAGAAAAACAGAAAGTTTAAGAAAGTACAAGAAAAGGAGAAAGAAGGAAAAGAGAAAAGAGAAGAAGCAAAAGGAAAAGCGAAGAAGGAAAACGAAAAGAAATGAAGAAAAACGGAAGAAAGAAGAATGAAAACGGGAGAGAGGAAAGAATACGGAAAAATAAAGAAAAACGGAAGTGAGAAGAAGGAAAACGGAAAAAGAAAAAGGAAAAAGAAAGTGAGAAGAAGGAAAAAGGAAGAAAGAAGAAAGAAAACTGAAGAGAGAAGGAAAGCGGACAAAAATGAAGCAAATCGGAGGAGAGAAGAAAGAAAATGGAAAGGAGAAGAAAGTAACTGAAAGAGAGAAGAAAGAAAACGAAAGATTGAAGAAAGTAAACGGAAGAGAGAAGAAGGAAAACGGAAAAGAGAGGACGGAAAACGGAAGAGAGGCGAAGGAAAACGGAAGGAAGGCGAAGGAAAACGGAGGAGAGAGGACGGAAAACGGAAGGGGGGCGAAGGAAAACGGAAGGGAGGCGAAGGAAAACGGAAGGGAGGCGAAGGAAAACGGAAAAGAGAGGATGGAAAACGGAAGAGAGGCGAAGGAAAACGGAAGGGAGGCGAAGGAAAACGGAAGGGAGGCGAAGGAAAACGGAAGGGAGGCGAAGGAAAACGGAAGAGTGAAGAAGGAAAACGGAAGAGAGGCGAAGGAAAACGGAAGAGAGAAGAAGGAAAACGGAAAATTTAAGAAAGTAAAAGAAAAAGGGGAAGAAGGAAAAAGAAAAGCGAAGAAGGAAAACGGGAAAAAAATGAAGAAAAACGGAAGAAAGAAGAAAGAAAACGGAAGAGAGGAAGGAATACGAAAAAAAATAAAGGAAAACAGAAGTGCGAAGAAGGAAAACGGAGAAAGAAGAAAAAGATGAAAAGGAGACTGCAAATTACGGAAAAGAAGTCAATTTATTGTGCGAGAAATCGCATCTAAATGAAAAATTGTGTATCAGTTCCAAGTGTCAAGGCCAAGGTCCTCACCAGAAACTAAAACTCTAATATATAACGGCCAGACGACTGAAAGATGCAAGCGACAAAAAGACAGCCTGATCACAAAAAGAATAGAAAAATAGAAAGAAAAGTGAAAAGTAAAGACAATAAATAAAAATAAAGAAGAAAGTGTGAAAGAAAGTGCTATTGCGTCCATTCATCCGTGGTCAGTGACGACGACTCTGCGCTTGCGTACTTAGGATTGATGATGTGAAAACGACAAGTAGATAACTCTCACAGATAAAATACGAATCTGCCCGAAGGAAAAGAAAAAAAAAAGAAAAGGAAAAAGATTAATTCCTGTTCATGGCGTAAAACCGGGCGGTAGCGAAAACTGCCGAAGTGCGACCGGCCAACACCAGCAAATCGTGCGAAATATTAATATGATTTAAGAAAATTGTTCTCTAAAAAGAACTTAGCGATCTAATTAGAACTCGATGGCAGGAACATACATTTTCACCTTTGCGAAAACGGAAGGCCGTAAAGGTAGGCTAACTTGATACAGAAGGAAAAAGGTGAAAAATTAATTATACAGATATAATGAATTAAAATGATCACTTTACAAGGAAAATAATAATAATAATAATAATAATAATAATAATAATAATAATAATAATAATAAAAAGTGTAATGACAGCAAGTTTAATTAATAAAAACATTAAAAAGCAAAAATAGCTTAATCATAATTAGTATCGTTGTTAATTATAGTAGCGAGTCTCTGTAAAACACGCAGTAAGAAAACTATTCACATTGTCACAGAAATATAAGGTCCTTAAAATATACTAGTTGTAGGAGAGGATTGCTACTATTTTTATTTCTCTAATAATGATTGAAAAAATAAAGAAACGCTTTTATCTTTAGCGCCACCTCAACAAATATTTTTTTAAAAATTGATCGATACAAACAAATTTTGAAAGTTAAAATTCCTAAAATGCTACTAAATTAAACTAAATATATAAGGCCTTGATGTTTAAAACTTTAGCCTATCTCATTTAAAAAAGAAAAAAAAGAAAAGAAAGTTAAATGAAGGTTTTTGGTGTAAAAAAATAATTTGGCCGCATTACAATTTCATATTTAATCATGAGTTTTGTCTTCTTAAGACGCCCCTTGCATTTTCAGGCTAAAAAAAAAAACAGTTGGTGTATCAAAATGTCTCTTAACCCGTATTTCCATATTAAATCAAAAGTTTTAGTGTTAAAGTAAGGTTTTTAGCCTTTAAATGTTTTAGTTGCATACTTTTCTAGACTAAAACAATAGATTGAGTCTAAAATAACAACATTCAGAATTCGTTTAGAACAGGTACCTCCAAAAAGTCGCCAAAAAAGCATATCATAATGAAAAAAAGCTCCAAACTTGATTAAAAAAAACTTTTAACGACAAAATATTTATATTATTATTAAGAGGAAAGACTAAAGAATTTTTTATTATTTCATTAAATTTTATAATACTTTATACCATGTTCGAAATTTTGGTTAAAACGGGCCGAAGATTACAATGTGAAATTTAGCGTTTCTTTTACATTGTTTTGGAAATTCTTATAAAAATCAAGTAATTGCCGGATTTTAATGAAATTTTCAGGTTTTATTTGAAAAAAAAAAAAAAAAAAAAAATTATTTTTTTTTTTCTGTTTTAGAACCTCTTGGTATATTTTTTTTTACATCTGTTATCCCGATTTATGAAATTTCGAGAAATTAAAATTCCACCCTCTTCATATCTATATTAGTTAAAAGCAGAACTCCTTAGAAAATATATATCACCAATTTGTTTTTGTCAAACAGAAACACCATTGTACCGAAAATCTGCCCTGAATTGTAAAATAAAAAAAATCAATAAAATTATGACATTATTTACATATAAAAGCTTTTCATAGCTTTCACAAATGAGATATATTAAGGACAATATTGTCTTAAGAAAAAACATTTGCGATGAATAATGAATTTTTACAAAAATTATTTTCATTTTTTAAAATTTTAATTAGAATAATTTAAGTTTTAAATCCTTGAAACTTCTTAATTCCACCCTTTTAGATGATATTATTAGTAAGTAAAACTATATTTACTAATCATAAATTGAAAAAATTAATACAAATCATCTAAACCAATATTTTTAAAAGAATTTTGAATTTTTTGTATGTGTATAAACCTGCCAATTTTTTTTAAATACGGATGATCATACACGACATTATCAGAAAATAAGAGTGATAATTGTATTAAATTTAAAGCCAGAAAGTATCTGAAACTCAATAAAAAATAAATTAAGGAAATTATTTTATTAAATTTTTAATATTACTGAGTACTTTAAAATTATTTATAAAAGGCGCTCAATTCAATTATTTTTACGGCTAAAGCCTCCACAGAAAAACATTAGGTCAACATCAATCTGTCATCGTAATGTCAAACATGTCAACAGGTTTGTTATACCGGAACATACCTATTCTATTGTTAATAGACTCTCCCACACATAATAAGTAGTAGTAGTGGCAGTCGCCAGGGAGCTCAGAGTGAGTTGGTGAGTCAGTCGATGTCGGACATTAAAGTATCAACCACCACAACTAGATTGCTGCGTCATTAACTATTATTTCAAGTACCTAACGTTTTGTACGTCGAACCTTTTTAGGACCGACTCAGTGAAAATACAAGCCTCCACTGTGAAAACTACTCTACAACACATTGGCGACGAGGGATTTCGTACTCTACAACAAGGTCAAATAAACAGCTACTGTGATGTTGAAAAAAATGTATTTCTGCGATATTTTAGAATTTAAAAAAAAATAATATTCGTTTCAAATCGAATATTCCTCAAATAAAGTTTCAGAAAGTTAGTATGTTTGCCTCCGTTGGTAGTTGCATAATTAAAAGAAAGAAAAAACTTGTAATTCCAAGGAATGATTTATTTTCATGGAGATATTTTGACTAGCAGTTGCCAGTCTTGGTCACTCCTTTAATTTGAGTAAAAACAATGCGACGAAACTAGAAACGCTTAAGAATTTAAATCATGGAAAACAAACCGAGTTGATGACGTTTACAACGTTATACCAAGTCGAGGCATAAAAAAAAAGAAATTTTTGTTTTCTCCATATCATATTTTTGTTTGGAGCAAAGATGTCCAGACAGGATGGAGTTGTGTTGCTAGCCGAAATATTTCCATAAAAAAAATAAATCATCCGTTGAAAGTACGAGTTTTTCCTTTCTTTTAAAGTTTCAGAAAAGTATTGGAAGATTTTTTAATAAAGAGAATCGGATTGCGATAAAAGACGCATAAAATAAAAGGGCGCTAATCATCTATTTTAGAAAAAAATCTCCTTGCAGGCAATTTAAATTAATTTTTGAATATCTGTCTATATGGAGAGAAAAGGGAGATCACCTCCCTCTGTGGGATCATGTTGAGATCATAGACAAGGAACACCATTGGAAAATTCATAAACTTAAGGAAACAGCACATATTCTAGGCCACAAAAATCTCCTGAGCCGACCAAGCATAGAAATAAATACAATATGGGAACCAGTAATAAGGAGTGCCAGAGAAAAGCGATAACAACAAAGTTGCAATATGAGCTCTGGTAAAAACATGGAGTGATAACAGCAAAATTGCAATATGAGCACTGGTAAAAATGGTTGCTGAAGACATTAGGTTTATAATACCCAGAAATTCATACACAGATGTCCTCAAGGACACATGGCACAGTAGAGTTTCATTTTAGATAAAGACGTTGGTTAGATCCAGTGACTGGACCCAAACAGTGTGAGTTCAATACACGGTTAAGGCAGTGGAGAACTTTCAGAGGGAAAATTAACAAGAGATAACTGATAACTGACATCCATGGCACGTGGAACTAGAACAGTCTACCCCAGTGGGCGAAATAAAGAGTTCAGTTCGACATTCCAACCACCTGAAGAAGGCCGGAGCGTACAACGGCCGAAATGTTGTAATAAATATGGCGACAAAGATGAGGACAATAGTCCGAATAATGTAAACAGTGTACATAATACCTCATCTCAGAAATATAGACAGATACTGAAAGGCCGAAAAATTGTAATAAATATGGCGACAAAGATGAGGACAATAGTCAGAATAATGTAAATGGTGTACATAATACCTCATCTCAGAAATATAGACAGATACTGAAAGGCCGAAACGTTGTAATAAATATGGCGACAAAGATGAGGACAATAGTCCGAATAATGTAAACAGTGTACATAATACCTCATCTCAGAAATATAGACAGATACTGAAAGGCCGAAAAATTGTAATAAATATGGCGACAAAGATGAGGACAATAGTCAGAATAATGTAAATGGTGTACATAATACCTCATCTCAGAAATATAGACAGATACTGAAAGGCCGAAAAATTGTAATAAATATGGCGACAAAGATGAGGACAATAGTCAGAATAATGTAAACAGTGTACATAATACCTCATCTCAGAAATATAAGGCACGTTAGGCTATATGACCGTTCCGTATAGGATACAGGTTTGATTTCGGTCGGAGGCCGCAAATTTTCCATGAAAATTTCTCGGACATTCAGTTGTTGTTAATACTGTTTATTATAATCAGAGCATTTACTTAAATATTTGCATCTATAAAAAGAACGTATAAACATAAAAAATGTCTTATATATATATATATATATATATATATATATATATATATATATATATATATATATGAAGAAAAAATAATCAGTTATATAATCCAGAGTTCTTTACCATTAAAAACTGTGCTCTTACATTAGAGCATAATATTATAATTATTATTTAGAAATATGTATTCATTGTGACACAGAAATTCTCATGTTTTGAAACCAAAACTTAAGTCTTAAAATAAACTTAAAATTTGAACATCAGTTTCAATTTGAAGAGATGCTGGATAATTCAGCATCCCTTCAAATTGAAACTGAAAGTTCAAATTTTTAAGTTTAGTTTAAGATTTAAGCTTTGGTTTCAAAATAAAACCATTTTGTGTCACAATGAATTCAATTTCTAAATAATAATTATATAATAATATATATGTAAATTATATATATATATATATATATATATATATATATATATATATATATATATATATAGTTATATTTAGTTTATGCAAATTTAGGTAATCCGTATGGGTAGACCTGAAGAGATGATATCCAGAGAGCTCAATGTAAAATTCAGAGCAGATATGTTTGAATAAAAGACAGTCCGATGTTAAGACTCCATGTAATAAGCTATTTCACCATAACCCCTTTAACAGGGTTCTGGATGATCAGACTACTTCCAAAAAGCTGAAATGAAAAATCAGAACCCTGTTAAAGGGGTTATGGTGAAATAAACAGCACATGGAGTCTTAACATGGCCTCTTCTATTCAAAAAATATATAATTATATATATATAAATATAAATATATAATATATATATAATTATATATATATAATATATATATATATATATTATATATATATAAATATATATATAATTACATATATATAAATATATATAATTATATATATATAAATATATATAATTATATATATATAATTATATATAAATATATATAATTATATATATATATAAATTTATACATATATATAATATATATTATATATATATATATATTTATATATATATAAATATATATATATATATTTATTTATATATATATAAATATATATATATATATATATAAATATATATAATTAAATATATATATAATATATACAATTATATATATATATATATATATATATATATAAATATATATATAAATATATATATAAATATATATATATAATATATATATATATAAAATTAATATATATATATATATATATATATATATATATATATATATATATATATATATATAAAAATTACTATATATATATAAACCATATTTTAAATCAATTAATTTATAATATTAATGCTGTGTAAATTTACATCGAGCACTATTTTGTAAAAGTAGAAATATCCTTAAGAACTCCGGATCATATATTACTTACTGTTCTTCCTTTATATATATATATATATATATATATATATATATATATATATATATATATATATGAAAGTGAACATAGAAGTCAACACTTAAAATGCGACAGTCTGTTTCATGCTAGATGCAATCGTCAGGCCACATCTAGCATGAAACAGACTGTCGCCTCTAAGTGTTGACTTCTATGTTCACCTTTATATTTACACACGCTCTATCTCTGATATTGAGCATTTTATCCTATAAATATAGCACATCTTAAGATTATATTTCTTCATATATGTGTGTGTGTGTGTGTGTGTGTGTGTGTGTGTGTGTATTCTATATATATTATATATGCGTGGTGCATGCAACTGAATATATCTGGCTATATTTCTGAGATGAAGTATTATGTACACTATTTACATTATTCGGACTGTTGTCCTCATCTTTGTTGCTATACTTATCAGAACGTTTCCGCCGTTGTACGGTCGCCATCCGAACCACTTGAAGAAGGCTGTAGTGTACAACCATTGAAACGACGTATGATAAATACGGCGACAAAGATGAGGACAATTGACCAAATAATGTAAATAGTGAACTGAATATATATAATAAATTATAACCATGGAATATTTGTGTTTGGTTTGACCCTTTTTATCATATATATATATATATATATATATATATATATATATATATATATATATATAAAATTAACTGATTTTAAAATATGGTTCCTTCGCTACAGCGGAATTACCATGTTTCAAAAACTTCAAATTTAATTATATAATTAAATTAAAAGCATTAGTTCTGTTTCATCTTCAAGCGAATTTTGAATAACTTATTTTTTAAATTTACTGAGTTCTAAAAGCACATACACAATTCTTTTTCTAAGGATACAGAAAACCAATCCTATATATATAGTCTGATTCAAGTCTGAACATGAACCGTTTATGTATTATATATATATATATATATATATATATATATATATATATATATATATAGTGCTGTTCGATAAAAGTGACTCGATTTTTTTACTAAAAATGCTTTTTGTCTATTGTTTTGGGGGTTAAAATAATTTTTAATCTTACTTGTATAAAGACCCCTTCCTGACAACCTAGGAAAAAAACTTTATTCACCCTAAGTTATTCTATTGATAATTATAAATTTGGATATAAATGAGATTCAGGAAAAAACTCTGTGCAAAAAAAAAGTGACTCAGATATCGCATTCTAATGATTAAACTAGTAAATTTAAAGAGCTTTTGACAAAATATTGAAAACTATTTTTCAATACACCCAGAACAATATTCTAGAGAATTCTAGAACAGCTTAAATTAAATCTAGACTATTCCAGAATATTCCAGAAAGCCTCATACAATATAAAAACAGCTTGAAATAGCCACTCAAGTCACTAACCAGATGAAAGGGTACAAACACGCATCAGAACCACTTAAGGCATCTCTCAAAAGCAGGCAAGTTTACGAGAGAAATTGAAGAAATTGCTATAACCTCGCAATCAACTGTCTCTCGAGTGCTTAGGGCACATAATGACGCCACTCCTGCTCCAAGGAAGGAAACAAGGGGACGAAAGAAAAAGATTGATGATAGAACTGTCAGGGTAATCAAGAGAGAAGTTGCGAAGAATAGGATTATAACTAGCCAAGAAATTGCAGCCAGTCTAAGCGAAGAGCAAGGTATTAGTCTTGCCTCTTCAACAGTCCGTCAGAACAAGGTTACAAATCTTGTTAGAACAAGGCTAAAATCTTGTACACGAAGGTTTAAGCCGCTAATAAGCAAAGCCAACAAAGCCAACAAAGCCAAGAGACTTGAATGGGTTCACTATTACAAAAATGTCACCGTAAAAGACTGGAAGAATGTTCTCTTCTCCGCTGAAACGAAAGTTGAGCTAAATTCAAAGGATAAGTTGAGTCACTTTTATCGAACAGCACTATATATATATATATATACATATATATATATATATATATATATATATATATATATTATTTTCTCTCTGAGTTCTTTTGTATTTTGCTATATTCGTTTTCACTGATTGTTCTGTGCATTTTTATGTGTTTATTTTTTAAAAGATATTTCAAACGAATGTCGCAACTTTCGAAAGTACTCGGGAAGAAAATAATATAAAATAAAAAATAAATATGAACTTTGGCAAATTTTCTGATATATTAGTTCAGTATCAATGGCATCTGAGTAACATAAAATCAAGCCATAAGTTGAACGGTTGACAACACTAAGTATTTATGGCAAGCTATTTTTAAAAATTCAATTCCAAGTGTCACTGGATAGCCAAACACGCTTAAGATAAGACCCGCATCTGATAAACTTGAACTATTTATAAGCCACCAGACATAAAGTTTACTCCATAATAACTGCTAATCAGATACTTCTTAAATTTCTATATTTAACACCATTCGTCGCCATTCTGAGAGACAAAGACTCTTTGATCAGTTGACAGGCTTACGGCCATATCAAGTTGAAACGCCATTTCTCTTACGATCAGCGAGGTTAAGGAACCTTGAGATTAGTCGGTTCGTAGATGGTTGAACGCTTGGGAATAACGGCTGCTGTAAGCTAGGATGCGCAGGTGGTATTTGCTTACGATCTATATCATGTTGAAACACCGATTATCGTAAGATCACCGAAGTTAAGCAACGTCGAGCCTGGTCGGTAACTGGATGGGTGACTGCTTGGTAATACCAGGTGATACACTCTTGGGCGTTTATGTCTCTCCGCGCCTAAATCACAGTTGACTATTTTAGTTAAATGACATGCATGATACGCACTTGGAGGATCATGTCTCTCCATAACTTAAAAGAATCAACAGAGATTTAGGCGAGGTAATTGTGGAGAGATATAATCGTCCAAGCATGTATCACGTATGACAATTAACTGAAAAGTCAACAGTGATTTAGGCGAGGAAGTTGTGGAGAGACATAATCGTCCAAGCATGTATCACGTATGACAATTAACTGAAAAGTCAACAATGATTTAGGTGAGAAAGTTGTGGGGAGATATGATCGTCTAAGTGTGTATCATGCATGTCACTTAACTGAAAGAGTTAACAGTGATTTAGGCATGGATGTGGTGGAGAGCCATAATCGTCCAAGCGTGTATCACGTATGGCACTTAACTGAAAGAGTCAACAGTAATTTAGGCGAGGAAATTGTGGAGAGACATAATCGTCCAAGTGAGTATCACGCATGTCACTTAACTGAAAGAGTTAAGAGTGATTTACGTGAGGAAGTTGGCGAGAGACATGATTGTCAACATTGATTTAGGCGAGGAAGTTGTGGAGAGACATAACCGCCCAAGAGTGTATCACATATGCCACTTAAAGAATCAACAGTGATTTAGGCGAGGAAGTTGTGGAGAGACATAATCGTCCAAGCGTGTATCACGTATGGCACTTATCTAAAAGAATCACCAGTGATTTAGGCGAGGAAGTAGTGGAGAGACATAATCGTCCAAGCGTGTATCACGTATGGCACTTATCTAAAAGAATCACCAGTGATTTAGGCGAGGAAGTAGTGGAGAGACATAATCGTCCAAGCGTGTATCATGTATGGCACTTATCTAAAAGAATCAACATTGATTTAGGCGAGGAAGTTGTGGAGAGACATAATCGTCCAAGCGTGTATCATGTATGGCACTTATCTAAAAGAATCAACATTGATTTAGGCGAGGAAGTTGTGGAGAGACATAATCGTATAAGCGTGTATCACGTATAGCATTTAACTGACTGAATGCCATTGGCAGTTGTTATTCTGATACAACGTTTATGTAAGGCTGATTGTCTGGAGTACTCGTTGAGGATCGAAACCGTATCTATTTTTTAACACGATATCACATCACTGGCAGAATGTTATGTAATAACAAAAGACGATATAAAATGTAGGAATCAGTCATATATACAGACCCCAGTTTGCATGTGAAAAATCCGCCTGATCATTTACACAACCCGACCAAACAGCCACGCCCTTAGAAGTGATCGCATATGACCTGGCTGGCGTCAATCCCATTCAATCTAATCACTTTATATTTTTCTATTCTCTCGTAATAATCAGTGCCATTAGAACCATTTAAGTCGCTGCCCACAAAATCTGTTCGAATTATTACGACTCGTCTGCTCTCGGCCATTCCCTTAGACAGATTGCCCGACTCAAACATCACTGCTCCCTGCTTCCGTTTCGTCTGTTCCAACACAAAATGACGCACGGATCGCGACCGCCATCTTTGATCAGCCATTGTCACTAACCGTTGTGATGGCTATTATCCCGCTGCTTACACTTTTGTGCTTCGTTTCACTTTTCATGGGCCAATAATAAATTTATGTTTGTTCAGCGAACAATGATCGTTTCTTTAAACCTTTTTTTACTTGATTTCCTCTGGATTTTTTTACATTTTTATCTTTCTCCTCCCCAGTTCAATCAGCCGAACAATTTTCCGCCTTTTCTTTTTGTCGGGTGATCCGCCATCTTTTTTAATGAGCAAATATTTATTTTGATTCTCTTGTGTTCGTTCTTTTGTGATTTTTCTCTTTATTATTCCATCTTCGTCTTTCTCTATCTCTCTCTCTCTCATCCACTCACTCACTCACTCACTCACTCACTCACTCACTCACTTCTCTTCAATACCATTTTTCTCACTCCTTGCACCTAGTCATCTTAATGATTCTCTTGCGTTTTTACTTATAACACAAATTGTATATCTCACTTTCTCTCTCTCTCTCTCTCTCTCTCTCTCTCTGCGTCCTCTCTCTCGCTCTCTTTCTTTTTCTCTCTTTCTCTCGCTCTCTTTCTTTCTCTCTCTTTCTCTCGCTCTTTTTCTCTCTCTCTCTCTCTCTCTTTCTCTCTCTGATACGCCGATGCACACAAATCAACATAAAGCTTCGACGAAAGGTAAGGCTTTGCAGTCTAGTCCACTTGACCATTACAACTAAGTCATAAGTTCGAGCCTTACTTGATACGGATATACTTGTGGCCTTGCGACAAACTAAGATTAGTTGGGCACTTGGGATACGCCAATAGTAGTTAGTAGTTAGTTGACCATTATTACTGTATTGATCCTCACTAGGTGCCCCATACATGTAACCTTGAGCCAAACTTAGCTAAGATGAGTAAATAACACCCTGGGCTCTTGGGATACGGTAATGTTTAGCGGGATAGTCTGGTTGATCATAACAAGTGCATTGATCCTCACTAGGTGCCTTATACATGTAACCTTGAGCCAAACTTAGCTAAGATGAGTAAATAACACCCTGGGCTCTTGGGATACGGTAATGTTTAGCGGGATAGTCTGGTTGATCATAACAAGTGCATTGATCCCCACTAGGTGCCCCATACTTGTAACCTTGTGCCAAACTTAGCTAAGATGAGTAAATAACACCCTGGGCTCTTGGGATACGGTAATGTTTAGCGGGATAGTCTGGTTGATCATAACAAGTGCATTGATCCTCACTAGGTGCCTTATACTTGTAACCTTGTGCCAAACTTAGCTAAGATGAGTAAATATCACCCTGGGCTCTTGGGATACGGTAATGTTTAGCGGGATAGTCTGGTTGATCATAACAAGTGCATTGATCCTCACTAGGTGCCCCATACTTGTAACCTTGTGCCAAACTTAGCTAAGATGAGTAAATAACACCCTGGGCTCTTGGGATACGGTAATGTTTAGCGGGATAGTCCGGTTGATCATAACTAATACCAAATTTAGCTTAGTTAAGCAAAGTAACATTTTATAGCCTCTCGTTTATCGATAAAGTATAATTGATCATTATTACTAATTTTCATCCTCAGTAGGTGCTCTATACTTGTGACCTTGTGCCAAACTAAGCTACTATTTGTAAATAATATTTAGGAGCCTAGATAGAGTATTGGTTATCGAGCTTATCTGGTTGACCATTACTACTTATTCGATACTTATTGAGATTGCTATACAAAATCCGACATTGAATAGCCCATCCTGAGTTGACATAAAATCAATCGATTTGACAACATTACAACGACGTGAGCAACGAAAATTCTAATAAATACACATACAACTGCACGCCGCAGCACAACAGAACTCATATGCATTGCTCCTAAGTTTTTAATTTAATTAAATTCTTTCATTCTTCCTCGAATTATTCACTTTCTCTTGATTCGCATGTCAACTTTCTAGCGTTCAAATCGTTGCTAATTTGTGGATTAATTACGTCAAGTTCTTTATTCCAATGGAAACAAAAGATCAAATTAAAAACCAAAATATGATAAAATCCGGGTGAATGACGGCGGAACGAAATTTTTTCTCTTTTTATAAGGGGTAATACCATTCAGAGATTTATAGCGTCATTGACTACAGATGGGCGTACAGATCGTGACAACAGATAGACACTGGACAGCATCCATGCAAGTAATCACAAAACGAAAAGATCTGAAAAATGAAAACAAAACACCATTAAAAGTGACCATTTGTGATTTGCCATGTTTTGATTGGCTGACAAATAAAAAAAAAAATTTCCCCAAAATGCAGGCGTTTTTTAATCATAATTTTTGCATCCATTGAACAGACAAAAATTATCGTCTGGTCAGTCACAATATTTAGTTTATAGCGTCAATTAATGCTTACTTTTGAAAAAAAAAATCATTTTATATTGCATTGTGAGATTTTTTTTTCGTTTTTAGCCAGATTGTAGCATTGACCACAGATCTGTTTGGGTAACCACGGTGTGAACTTGCCGACGACATTTTCTTTTTTCCATTATTCCATTTTTTTTCTGCTGGTGTGCATCTTCGTTTCACACCTTTCAGTCCTGTTAATATTCAACTCTGGAAATAGTTCTCTAAGGTTCAAAGAATAATTTGCTTCGCTTCGCCTGGCTAAAAATAATTACTCGACACTCCAAATACATTTCACAATAAAAAGTCATCACGTGTGAAATGAGATTGTTCATGATGGAAGCGTTGAGATATGATTCCTCGATTTGTAATATTTTAAAACACATGAAACAATGGATCCATTAGTTTAATCCTATCCTCTTCACAAAGGTTCACTTTGTCTGACAACAAATTTAAGTAAAAGATTCGTTGCAAATGGCTGCCAATTTGTTTTATAAGGTCGAAATTATTATCAAAGTAAATAACAATTGATTTAGTACACAAGATTTTTCCAAATGAATTGGAGTTTCATACCATTTTGAGCGCGATTCTTACTGAGAAATCACATTCAGATTACTTTTATTGAGTCTTTGTTATTTCCACATTATACAAATGTTTTGTAAAATGTTCATGCATTTATATTATACAAAATTATATATCTAGATTGACAATACTAATAGACAGCTAGCTATCTAGATAGATAAGGATGAAAATGACATAGATAGATAGATAGATAGATAGATAGATAGATAGATAGATAGATATGAACAGGTTTAGATAGATAGATAGATAGATAGATAGATAGATAGATAGATAGATAGATAGATGAGGAAAATGACATAGATAGATAGATAGATAGATAGATAGATAGATAGATAGATAGATAGATAGATATGAACAGGTTTATAGAGATAGATAGATAGATAGATAGATAGATAGATAGATGAGGAAAATGACATAGATAGATAGATGAATAGATAGATAGATAGATAGATAGATATGAACAGGTTTAGATTGATAGATAGATAGATAGATAGATAGATAGATAGATAGATAGATAGATAGATGAGGAAAAATGACATAGATAGATAGATAGATAGATAGATAGATAGATAGATAGATAGATAGATAGATAGAGGAAGTGACTGACATAGATAGATAGAAGACAAATACTTTTAACTAATTATAGTTTACAATATTCTGTTCACTACTATTTCTCTAGTAGTTTTGTCTTGAAGGTTCGGTTCAGTTTAGCCTCCAGCTGTATCAACTATTTATATTGTGGCAATTTGCATATGAATACAACAGTTCGTAACACACAATACTCTTAGACTCTCACAAGATATGGAGTATTACCTTCTTTGGATGCAGGCCGCTCTTGGAGTGGTTACTGGTGGTTCATTTCGATTGTCCTAGGTCTTTGTTTGCTCCACGTTGTTATAAGACATCCATTTTTCATCGCCTATGGTCTTTTTCATAATGGGCTGCTTGTTGCTGCGTTTGCGCAGAGGTTGTAATTAATTGATTTGTTTTCTACAGTTTATCAACCCTATGAAGGTTCTTTAAAGCCAGAAAATATTTTTAGATTGTAAGGTTTTTTTTTTTTTTTTTTGATAATAACAATTTAGTCTTACTAGTTAACGGTTAACTGGCGGGGTGGTGGGGAGAGGGGGATTCACGCTTAATCAGAATTTGATAAACAAACAAGAAATTATAATGTGGATTATAATGGGGATCAATTCTATATTACAATCATTATATAAACTGATCCTTCACTTTGTGACCACGGTAGATTTTAGACATTTTTATTCCAGAGAATGTAAATAAACCTAAAAGAGATGCCTGTGCAGCTAATCGGCGTTTCATTGATTGATCTATTCGTTTTCTACGGCTTATCAACCCTTTGCAGGTTATTTAAAGCCAGAAAATATTTTTAGATTCTAAGAATTTGTTTGTTTTTGGAGATAAAGAGTTAGTAATGAAAAATCATAGCTGGTGGAAAAGACGTGGATTCATACCTAATCCGAATTCGATAAACAAACAAGAAGTTATAGTATGGATAGAAAGTGGGGGATCAATTCTATATTACAATCAGTATATAAACTTATCCCTCACTTTATAGCCACGGTAATTTCTATACATTTGTATTCCAGAGAATGTAAATAAATCTAAAAACCATACTCGAGTAGCTAATCAGTATTTGACCAATTGATTGATTCGTTTTTTTTACTGCTTATCAACCCTTTGCAGGTTATTTAAAGCCAGAAAATATTTTTAAATTCTAAGAATTTGTTTGTTCTTGGAGATAAAGATTTAGTAATAAAAAATCATAGCTGGTGGAGAAGCCAAATTTGATAAACAAACAAAAAAGTTATAGTATGGATATAAAGTGGGGGATCAATTCTATATTACAATCAACATATAAACTGATCCCTCACCTTATGGACACTGTAATTTTTATACATTTGTATTCCAGAGAATGTAAATAAATCTAAAAGCCATGCCTGAGTAGCTAATCAGTATTTGACCAATTGATTGATTCGTTGTTTTACTGTTTATCAACCCTTTGCAGGTTATTTAAAGCCAGAAAATATTTTTAGATTGCAAGATTTTTTTTCTTTTTGAGATAATAACGATTTACTGATACAAGTTTTATGAATTACGCCATAAATAGGTGGGAGTAGAGCTGGATTCATATCTTTGGAACGGGTATAAATGCGTAAGTGAATATAACGAACCCAACTGGAATTCGAACTCGGATCTCCGATTAACAATTCCAATCCATTATTCCCAAGTGGTCACCCATTTATATACTGACCGGGCACGACGTTGCTTAACTTCGGTGATCGTACGGGGACTGATGTTTCAACCTGATATCAACCATAAAGCGTTTGAGTAGTGACTCGTAGACGGAAGTGGTGATATTTTTATTTCCGTTTAGTCCTTAGAACGAAAACTCGCTTGAAGATGAAACAGAATTAAGGCTTTTAATTTAATTATATAATTAAATTTGAAGTTTTTAGCTTCGGTTTTTGAAACATGGTAATTCCTGCGTAGCGAAGGAACCATATTTTTAAATCAGTTAATTTATAATATATATATATATATATATATATATATATATATATATATATATTAATTGATTTAAATATAGTTTTTTCCACTATAGATATTTTTATTTTTACAGAGCATTTAATATTATAGATTAATTGATTTAAAATATGCCTTTTTCCGGAAAAAGGAAAAAAACCATATTTTTAAATCAATTAATTTATAATATTAATGCTCTGTAAAAATAACATTGAGCACTATTTTTAAAAATAAAATATCTATAAGAACACCGGATTATATATCTTACTGTTCTTTTCTTTTTTATATATATATATATATATATATATATATATATATATATATATATATATATATATACCATGCATTTCAGTCGTCTCTAAAAAAACATCAGGTAATCAAACGTCCTTCCTCTTATATGTGCCGTGTCCCTTCAGGACGTGACTGATTAGGATTCTTCACAGCTTCCTGTTCTTTGTAGGGTTGAGGGGTGTTTGTCTTTTTGCAATCTCCTTTGATCCCTGTTCTGCCAACCAAGTACACAAGCTTTGTTATTCGCTGTCTTCGTCTGTCTCTCTTGCCTTCAGTATGCCCTGTGAGTGTCAAATTTTCCAATCCCCCTTTCCTCATTATGTGCGTTAACAAATTCGGATTTCTCTGTATAAGTATGCATTTTGTTTTCAATTTCTCTAAAACTTTGCCATTGTTCACATGTTTAGTTCATGATATGCTCAGCATCCTTCTGCAGAACCAGATTTCTGTTGCTTCAAGTCTTCTTCATCTTCGAGGAGAGTGTCCAGCATTCACTGCCATACAAGAGAACCGATATTATATAACGAAATATTCCCGTTTTTAATACGTTGCTTAGTTTTTGGAAGACATCTTTCACTAAATTTTCCTGTTTCTTAATACATTACTTAGTTTTTGAAAGGCATCTTTCACTGTCCCAATGTTCCTTCGAATTTCGGTGTCGCATTTTCCATTTTGTGTTAAAACACTTCCTGGAGATTTCAATTGTGGTATTTGTCTTATTTTGGTATCTCCAATTGGTAATTCGCCTCTTAGGTCGTTTCCTTTGCTCACAAACATACATTATATGTGTCTATATTTCTGAGATGAGACATTGTACTTATTAACATTATTTACTTTGTTCGGACTGTTGCCCTCATCTTTATTGTCGTGTTCACGACGTTTCGGCCGTTGTACGCTCTGGTCTTCTTCAGGATATGTCTATATTTCTGAGATGAGGCATTGTAATTATTTCCATTATTTACATTGTTCGGACTCAAAGGACACAGTGGATAGAAGCGTTGGTTAGATCCAGTAACTTGACCCAAATAGTTGTGAGTTAAATACCTATGGAGAACAAAACTGTAGATAGATGAGTTATAGGGCGATAACAGAAACATCCGGAAGAGGCATGATACGTGGATCTAGAACAATCTACTCCGGTGGACGAAATAAATGATTAAATTCGAAATTCCAATCACCTGAAAAATACCGGAGTGTACAATGGCCGAAACGTAATGAACATGACAATAAAGATGTAAATAATGTAAACAATCATTGATAGTCTTTCTATCATTCTTTTAAAAACTCCGTTGGGAGTTCTTGCAGTTTTCTTTCCGGGTCTGCTATCAAAAGATTCCTCTGCATGTCTAATGTTGTTGTGACCTTAAAAACTAAATCTTGATAATACTTCCAATTCTACTTAGAATCAACGATGTCGGATTAATGAGACAGGTGAGACTTTCTCTGACACCACTTTCTATTTTTGTATATTTACTGAACTCATGTTCCATTTACATGCAAGTTGTTTGCTGCCATTATAGGTTCTTGATTATTCTAATATCCTTTCCAAATATGTCAAGGTTACTAAGAAGTTCCAACACTTCTTTGTGATGTATTCTATCAAACGCTTTTGCAGAGTCTATAAACAAAGGTACACGTCCTTTTGCATTTGTAATACTCATGCAAGCTGTTTAAAACCGAGATTCTACAATCTACATTCAACATCATCACTTGATAAGACACCAGAGGTGTTGAAACAAAATGGCTATTTTTGTAGTGATTTTATAACATTTTTATGTTATGTTGAGACATTTTTTTATGTTTCTACGTTCTTTTTATAGATAGAAATATTTAAGTAAATGGTCTGTTTATAATAAACAGTATTGACGACATTTACCGACCTGAAAAACTTCTCGGAAATTCAGTCCGGTAAATGTCGTTAATACTGTTTGCTATAAACGGAGCATTTACTTAAATATTTCTGTCTATAAAAAGGTCGTATAAACATATATATATATATATATATATATATATATATATACGTGCATATTAATATATGGTATACCAATTTGTATCGTCACCGACAGAGAGTGTACATGTTCTAAAGCATAGCTTCCAAATGAGTTACGCAACATTAAAATATTCCTTCATGTTAATAACGTCAAAATATTTTTTAGACTTATTAGTGTCACTGCATTTTGTGGGATAGCATTAATGATGTCAGTTAAGAAACTGTGATTCACACTCATGCGAACCCAAACTTAAAACCAAATATTTTAAAATGATTACTTGCATTTTTTCAATGTATAGCATTAAAGCTAACATTATCTGTAATATGTACACTATTTACATTATTCGGACTATTGTCCTCATCTTTGTTGCCATATTTATTACAATGTTTTAGCCTTTCAGTATCTGTCTATATTTCTAAGATGAGGTATTATGTACACTATTTACATTATTCGGACTATTGTCCTCATCTTTGTCGCCATATTTATTACAATGTTTTGGCCTTTCAGTATCTGTCTATATTTCTAAGATGAGGTATTATGTACACTATTTACATTATTCGGACTATTGTCCTCATCTTTGTCGCCATATTTATTACAATGTTTTGGCCTTTCAGTATCTGTCTATATTTCTGAGATGAGGTATTATGTACACTATTTACATTATTCGGACTAATGTCCACATCTTTGTCGCCATATTTATTACAATGTTTTGACCTTTCAGTATCTCTCTATATTTCTGAGATGAGGTATTATGTACACTATTTACATTATTCGGACTATTGTCCTCATCTTTGTCGCCATATTTATTACAATGTTTCGAATTTTCAGTATCAGTCTATATTTCTGAGACGCAGTATTATGTACACTATTTACATTATTCGGACTAATGTCCACATCTTTGTCGCCATATTTATTACAATGTTTTGACCTTTCAGTATCTGTCTATATTTCTGAGATGAGGTACTATGTACACTATTTACATTATTCGGACTATTGTCCTCATCTTTGTCGCCATATTTATTACAATGTTTCGAATTTTCAGTATCTCTCTATATTTCTGAGATGAGGTATTATGTACACTATTTATATTATTCGGACTATTGTCCTCATCTTTGTCACCATATTTATTACAAAGTTTTGGTCTTTCAGTATCTCTCTATATTTCTGAGATGAGGTATTATGTACACTATTTACATTATTCGGACTATTGTCCTCATCTTTGTCGCCATATTTATTACAATGTTTCGAATTTTCAGTATCAGTCTATATTTCTGAGACGCGGTATTATGTACACTATTTACATTATTCGGACTATTGTCCACATCTTTGTCGCCATATTTATTACAATGTTTTGGCCTTTCAGTATCTGTCTATATTTCTGAGATGAGGTATTATGTACACTATTTTCATTATTCGGACTATTGTCCACATCTTTGTCGCCATATTTATTAGAATGTTTTGGTCGTTCAGTATCTCTCTATATTTCTGAGATGAGGTATTATGTACACTATTTACATTATTCGGACTATTGTCCACATCTTTGTCGCCATATTTATTACAAAGTTTCGAATTTTCAGTATCAGTCTATATTTCTGAGATGAGGTATTATGTACACTATTTACATTATTCGGACTATTGTCCTCATCTTTGTCGCCATATTTATTACAATGTTTCAGCCTTTCAGTATCTGTTTATATTTCTGAGATGAGGTATTATCTACACTATTTTCATTATTCGGACTATTGTCCACATCTTTGTCGCCATATTTATTAAAACGTTTCTGCCATTGTACGCTCCGGCCTTCTTCGGGTGGTTGTACTGTCGAACTGAACCCTTTATTTCTCTCACTGGGGTAGATTGTTCTAGTTCCACGTGCCATGTCTAATGGATGTCAGTTATCAGTTATCTCCTGTTAATTTCCCTCTCAAAGTTATCCCCCGCCTTATCCGGGTATTGAACTCACATTCTTTGGGTTCTCTCACTGGATCTAACTAACGTCTATATTCACTGTGCCATGTGCCCTTGAGGACCTCAGTTTTAAGATGGTTGCTGGTATAATAGTGTCAGTGGGATAATTGTAACGCTAGCATGTCAGAAAATATTAATGACACTGATTGCTGGCATAATATTTTCAGAGGGATTGTGCTTATACTAGCATGTCAGAAAATATGATTCTCACACATGCAGACCCCACACATGATTTCTCAAATATTTTAACATGATTGGCGTCATAATATTGTCAGTAGGTTTGCGCTCATAATATCATGTCATAAAATATAATTCACACTAATGCAGACCCCACACACACGCAAATATTTTAAGATGATTGCTGGCATAATATTTTTAGTGACATTACGCTTATACTAGCATGTCATAAAATATGATTCACACTCACGCAGACACCACACACACGCAAATATTTTAAGATGATTGCTGGCATAATATTTTCAGTGGCATTACGCTTATACTAGCATGTCAGAAAATATGATTCACACTCATGCACACC